AGGGTCAACAAGTCGGCTCCTGGCCCTGATGGCATACCCTGCACGGCTTGGAAGCGCACCCTCTCTGCGGCGCAGCTTCTCCTGGAAGTTGCGATCGAGACAATGAAAGTTCCCCCGGTGCCGCTGGACTTCAACGACCCGCTTATGATTTTCACGCCCGAGGGTCCGGAACCTGATGATGGAGTAGCTGCTACTAGGCTGGCGAAGGCCACTAGACCCCTGTTCCTGAAGAACACGGACTGCAAGATCGCAGCCGCCATGGGCAACGAGTTAATGAAGCCAATCGCGGCGAAAGGATCTCACGGGGCGCAGAAGGGCTTCTTGCCGAAGCGGCGCTTCATCGAACACGTGGTGGCCATGGGCGCGCAGTCCCGCATCGTTGCCATGCAGGATGACGCGACGTGCAAGGGCCCGTTGATGGTCCTATACGACTTCGATGACGCGTTCCCCTCGGTGCACAGAACCTGGCTGGACATAGTCCTGGAGAAGGCGGACTTCCCTGAGGGCATCCGCAACATGATCGGCGCGATCTACCTCCTGCCCGCCGCCATCGCCAACCTCGCGGGTGCCAGCGAGTTATTCTGTCCCTTGGCGTCTGGCATTCTTCAGGGACGCCCGTGGTCTGGCACGCTGTGGGCGGCGGGCGTGGACCCGCTGATCAGAGACATGCATTCGGGAACGGCGCGCTTCAAGGGCGCGGTCATCGGCGTCTGCGCCGACGACGCGGGCACAGTCCCCCCCCCTCATACAAGGGGCTTCGCCCCATGGGCAGGGTCTTCTACGCGGCGGAGATCCTAGCGCGGCCAGTGCTAAAGACGGCGAAATGTAATATCATTCCTCTGGCGGAGGCAGCTTCCCCTACGGTGGAGGACAGAATCCGAGCCAAGATTGCTGAGCTGGTTCCACGTTGGTGCGACATGGCGGTTACCGACAGAGCGGAGTACTTGGGCGCGCTAATGGGCCCAAGTGTGGAGGACGGACACAGGTGGGAGAAGGTGGTCTTCGGCTGGCAGCGCTCCACTGTCATGATCGCTGATGGCGGGGCGCCGACCAGCACCTCACTAATGCTCTATAACCAGCGCGCGGCGGGCAAGACTTCCTGCCCCAGCCAGCTCTTCGCGCGGCCGCAGATGATAAAGAAGGCAGAGAGTTGGGCTCTGCACCGCATCTGGCACCTTCCCCCACAAGCTCCCCCACGTGATGCCCTCCTGGCGGTGGGGCGCTGGACCTCGGTAAAGGCGGTCTCCATCGAGCTCAGCAACCGTATGGCACTGATGCGCAGCGCCGCCGACTCCATCCTGAACTGGCAGTTCTGGGCCAGACGGCTGCGCGATGCTGCGGAGATTGGCCTCTCGTTCCATGCCCGATCGCACGGCCCGTTCGCCCCCGTCCACTGGAAGTCAAAGCCGATCGCCCACGCCCTCGAGGATGCATCGCAGGGGTTCCCCAATGACAAGAACCGCCTACTGGCCGCGGCCTGCACTACGGCGATGAGTGAGTGGAAGGATGAGAAGGCCCGCCTCAAGGCCGAATGTTCTACTGCTCGCTTGCGCATGCAGAAATTTATATACTCCAGCCTCGTCACCTCCCTCCTCTCTGACGCCTGCCTGTCACTGTTCTCGCCCGTCTCAAGTCCTGGGCAAAACTAGACGAGTCTTTTTCATCATCACAGATCGAATGGGAGCCCCTCAAAGAGCCCCTCGTCACGAGTTCTTCGCCAGCCGCGCATTCGGCACTTCTCAAGACGTGGGTCGGAGGCTGGACGACGAGCCGTCGCCTCCACTCGTCCGATGTTTGCAGCCCTTGCATTTTGGCTGCCGCCAGGCCGAGGGCGATTGCGCCACCGACGCCATGGCCCATTACATTCGCTGCCCACCTCTTTGGCAGGCAATCCGTGCGATATGGCACGGGCAGGTGTGCGTCCAGCAATCCAGTCTGAATCGCCTGGGCCTCTGCAGCGGGGAGCTTGACGAATGTCCACAGAACGTGTCGCTTGAGCGCACGGTCATTGCTTTTCATACATACAACATTCAGGCGAAGTTACCTACCATGAAGAGGTCGCTACCCAATGCGACCGTGGACAGTGCCCGCGCTGCCAGGGCGCTTTTCTTATCAACTCACAAGGCTGTACAGTGATCGACTGGACACTGTTCGCCGCGGAAGCAAAGACTGCAGTGGCGCTTCGCGCCATGCACCTTGGTCCTTGAAGTTTGGTACGCATGCGGAATAGCAAAAAGGTTAAACCGACACTTTAGCGATAACTCTTTATTGCCTTTGTCTGGCGTCGCCGCTATGATAATCTGAATTATTCATTATCCTTCCTCCATGTTTATTATTTTTCATTTGCGCCATACCCTGCGCATTCTCCCCATCCTTTTCAGCTCTTTTTTGCGGAGGCTCCTCCTGGGAGAGCCTATGGGGACCTCACAACAGTCGTTTCCGGCTTTCTTAAGGCGTTATGGAGGCCTCCTGGGCGTATTTTGGGGGCCTGTGGGGGTGCCCTCGGGACACCCTGCCTCCAATCGCGGTCTCCCGGAACGACCGGGTCACGATTTGGATTGCTTCGGAGCGCGTGTTGGTGCCATTTTGGGCCGCCATGGGGCTGTCTGAGGGCCATCATGGACCCGTGTTGTGCCGTTTTGGGGCTCTCTTGGACTGCCTGGAAGCCCTTTCGGATGGTTGTGGGGCGATTTGGGAGCCTCCCAGGCGTCTTCGGACGCCGAGAAGACCGCCGTCTTGGAGCGTCGGGAAGCCGAAAAGAAGAAAACCCCCAAATTCACCAAAAACCAACAAAACATCCCTGAGTTTTGCCTCTTGGGGCCTTCTTGGGAGTGCTCTTGGAGGCCTCTTTGGGGCCGTCCTGGAGGCCTCTTGGGCCATCTCGAGGTTACGTCGGTCACTGTTGGAGCGCTCTTGCGCTGTCTTGGGGGTTTCTGAGACGTCTCCGATGACCCACCTGATCGCCCTAGGTGTGGTGGGACCGCTTCGAGGCCCGTCCAGAGGGTCCCAAAGCCCCAGATCCCGGGAGTCCTGTTTTGTTGGGGGAGGTTCCCCCTGCCCGGGCTTGCAAAAATATAGGAAGAGGAATGTACACATAAGTGCTGGGGTATACGTATATGTATGTGTATATGTATATGTATATGTATATGTGTATGTAAATGTAAATGTATATGCATATGTATATGTATATGTATGTGTGTATGTATATGTATATGTTTACATATGTATATATATACAGAGAGAGAGAGAGAGAGAGAGAGAGAGAGAGAGAGAGAGAAAGAGAGAGAGAGAGAGAGATATATACACACGCATCTGGACGCTGGCGCCCCCAGGGCCCCCTTCGAGGCGCCCAACCCACTGCGAGTGTCGTGAAGCATCATGGGCGGCCCAGGCCAAAAAGGTTTCCCCAGGGGCAGCGTGCAGGTGTGGCTTGGCTGTCTTCGTTGCTCGTGCCTCCCCAGACTGTTTGGGTGCCTGTTTTACAAGGCTTCTGAGGTTTCTGTGCATGGCTTGTGCCATTTTGCACCACTTTCGGTGGCTGCCCAGCAGCATCTGGTTGCCATTCAAACCACAGCTATGAGGCTGCTGCGTGGGTCCTCTCCCCCATAGTCTGTTATAGACGGCTTCTGAGACTTTGTGCATGGCTTGTGCCACTTTGCACCACTTTCAGTGGCTGTGCGGCAGCATCTTGTTGCCATTCAAGCCACAGCCTGGAGGCTGCTGCGTGGGTCCTTTCCCCCAGCATGTCTGGAGTCTGTTTTACAGGGCTCCTGAGACGTCAGTGCACATCAGCGCCCACCCTTTACAGTATTCGTGAAGGCCGCTACGAGAGACCTTGTGCAAGATATGCCTCGGCTCCTCCGCATTCGAAGACCCTGCTGGGGTACCAGGGGCCCTGGGGCCCAGGCCCAGACACCCTCCTGGATCCCCCCTCCTGGCCCACGTCATCGTTGACCCGTACGGGGCCTCCTGGGCCTCCTTGGCATTTTTCCCGCCGCCAAAACAGCTCCAGAGGCTAGAAGCGACCAGAGCAGACTGACAACTGAGATGGCCACCCCGCTTGCGGAGGGGATAGGGGGAGTTATATCTAGTTACGCGCACGTCATAAGTAAGTTATAACCAATATATATATATATATATGATATAATTGGAGGAAGCAGGATGTACATGGCATAAGCGGCTGCCAACTCAGAGACACAACATAAGGGTAGTTAGGGCTAACATCATCTATGTTACTTCCTTGTTATAACAAGTTATGCCTAAGTGGTATAAGTGGTTCGCCCTCTTAGCCCTAACCAGGATAGACGTGGTTGCGGCAGTTAGCTAACCAGGATAGCTGAGGTTAGCTAAGTGGGTTAGCCGGATAGGGCTAAATAGGTTAGCAGGAGAGGGCTAACTAGGTTAGCGTCGGCGGCCTTCGGTGGCACGCGTGGCGTTCAGCGGCGCTCGGCGGCGGCCGTCAGCGGCCTTCGTCGGCCCTCGGCAGCCCTACTGGAGTCGTCGGAATGTTTTGAGAGGGCCCCCAGAGGGGCCCCAAGATGGCCCCAAGGGCTCCAAGAGGGCCCCGAGAGGGCCTCGAGGGCCCGAGAGGGGTCCAATATTGCCTCAGAGGAGCTCCAAGAGGACCCCAAGAGGGCTCCGCCAGGGCTCGTTTTGAAAGGCTTTCCTCTTGGAGCTGCTTGGGGCCCCCATGGGCACCTCTTGGACCCCTCTTGGAACCTTCCTGGACTCCTCTTTGGGCCCTCCCCCTGGCACCCAAGAAGGCCCAAACCCAGCAGCTGGGTTGGGGCCTTGGCGGGGCCCTCTTGGAACCCTCCTGGGCCCCTCTTGGGCATCCCTGGGGCCCTATTGGGGCCCTCTTGGGCCCGTCTGGAGCCCTCTGGGGCCGTCTTGGGGCCCCTACGGGGGGCTTCCATTTTGTCGCTCCGCAGCCGTTTGGCGCAATTGTGGCAAGGGAGTGCACTTCAACGAACGACTGCACACACGTTCTACTACTGGCGATGGCGAGCCTTGCCACCTCCATCGACAAGGCCAAGGGGACGATCCAGCCCATGTTAGATACGCTGAACAGCGGCCATGGGATCGAGCAGCTCCGCGTGGCCATGCAGCAGATCATTTCCACCTTGAGGACTCACGACCTTGCACTAGATCAGCAGATCCTTGTCAAGCGGTGCGGTGTGCACTCGACGAACAGATTTGGAGAGGGCCTTGACTTAGCCGTGATGATCAGGAACATGAAGTCAATCATTCGGACAGGCTTTGTATTCGAGGAGTTCAAGTGCATCTGCTTCGAGGTGCCCTCGGACCCTGCCACGCGCGACGCAGAATACGAGTTCAACCGCAGGCTTGCGGTTGCATCCCATGGGCATCTCCCTTCCATCGAGAAGCACGACCTGCAGTACTTGGCCATCGCTGGTTCGCATTCGACGGCGGCCATGCGAGCAATCCAGCAGGGCTGCTACTCCGACTACGCCGACGTCTGCGATGAGAACAACAAGATATGCACGGCCAAGGTGTACGCCAAGTGTCCGTCTTACAAGGAACCCATCGAAAACGGTGCACCCGCCCTCGTCATCCGCAGCGAGGTCCTGACAGTTTTCCCAGGCTTGCCTGACTTATTGCAAGACGCAGCCAATGATACTCATGAGTCAATCGGGAGACAGACGAAGGTGGCGACACTTCTCCAGATCTACAAGCAGTCGCGCGCGAACCAGAAGAAGTCGCAGGACGCGAATTGGACTCAGATCGCAAACAAGATCGAGCGATCCAAGGGCCACTTGAAGGGCCAGGTCGCTGACATGTGTGCGTTTGTGCAGAACTACGGCGGTGCCGGCGGCGAGTACATCCACGACTTGTGCGATTGCGCAACGACTATCGGGGAGCAACGCCGTGACATCGCAGGCGTCACCTTTGGCGTCATGTCCAAGCTTTGCTTCCAGCAGGGGCCTCGGTTTGTGATTGCACTGGCAAAGGCATGCCTCGTCGCCCCCGCGGGCAAGGATCCCACCGCCAAGCTGTTCACCTCGACCGATTTGGCCTCGCTCGGACAGACGGGCAGCCCCCTTCGCGTCGCAGCCATCGAGCTCCAGACAACCTCCGAGGCGCTCAGGAAGTTCTTGCAGGCCGTGCCCAATATGGAGAAGGGGCACATGGCGAAGTACATTGGGGATCTCGAGGTGAGGATGGTGCTGCTCGCCTTGAAAAAGGTTCCAAGGGTGAACAGAGCTGCACCCTTCAAAACAACTGAAGACATCGCCAAGCTGTTCTTCGATGAGGTCCTGGCCACTTACGACTACTCCGAGGAGATCGCGATGCCGTACATGCCATCGGGACTGATCACGTCTGCAGAGTCTCCTTCATCGAAGGCGGACTCGTCTTCTTCACCGTTTGCGGACTCATCTCCTCTCTACAACAAGATGCTCCTGAAGAACGGGTCCCAGAAGGGCGTCATCATCAAGACTATGACTGGTGACCACAACGACCATTACATCTTCAAAGACACCTCGGACGGCAATGTCACAATCGAGCTCGCGACCAAGTGCGACGAGCCTACCGGGCGCCTCTCCGAGAAGAAGGCTGCGACGACCACCGTGCTGCCCTTCAAGATGGTGATCGATGACTATCAGGTCGCTAGCCCTGCAAAAAAACATCCTGCCCGTCCTCCTCCCTCCTCCTCCTCCTCCTCCTCCTCCTCGCTCCTCCTCCTCTTCCTCTCCCTCCTCCTCCTCCTCCTCCTGCTCCTGCTCACCCCCGCCCTCCCCCACCTCCTCCTCCTCCTTCCCCCCCTCCTCCTTCGCGCGCGCGGTGCGTTCCCCCCCAGGTTGCGCCCACGTCGGACGAGGTGGGGGTGCTCGTGGACGAGACTTTCGACGGGCTCGACCACGACGAGGTGGCGACTGAGCTGCTGAAGGCTCAGGCCACGTCGGCCATCGAACCCGATGCCCTCCCACCGCCCCGCTCTGGGATATGCGAGGGGGGATGGAGGGGGAGGGGGAGGAGGAGGAGGAGGGGAGGAGGAGGAGGAGGACGAGGATCGGGGGCAGAACGCACCACCTGTGGAAAATCAATGTTTTTGTTTGTGGGCGGTGCAACAACAGAAAACGGCCACTGGACCTCCTGGGCCCCTCCTGGACACCGCCCTGATCAGGAATCCGAGCCGAGTCCAGCCCAGCATAAATCATCGTCCGAGGTCACCCCCCAGCCCTGAATAAATCTTCGTCCGGGGCTTTGGTGTGGGTTCAAACGAGTTTGGGAGCCAAAACGCAAGCCCATCGCCCCGTCGCCGCCCGTCCTGTCGTCGGCCCCCCAGGTGCGGATGGCAGTGTGCACGGCCTACAAGTCCTACCAGAAGGACATCAAGGTTGAGATCACCGTCAAAAAGGGGAGCAAGGGGGTAGTGGCCTCTAAGGACTACCCCAAGGGGGCCCTGCGTCTGGTACCCCTGACGCCCAACCTAGGGTGCGGCACAAAAATCCCCTCGTCTGCCATTGACGTTCCTTGGGCGCGCCCGAAGCACAACCCCTCGCTGCGCATCTACTTGAGCCCCAAGCTGGAGCCAGCCCCGAACAAGTTCAAAGTCCCCCTCTGGTACGTTGCTGGTAGCCCAGACAGCGACGTATGCAACGTGGTTTGGTCTCATGATGTGGTGGTTCTCACAGACTCGATTGGTGCGACCCCGAGCTCGGCTGAGTACAAGGTCCCCGTTCTGGTGAATCGCAAAGCGATCGCCGCTGGCTTCGAGCTGATTTACAAAGTAGCAGATCCCAATGCCAATAAGAGGGTCACTGGCTCGAGCCCCCGATCGGGCAAGAGAGCCAAGCAGCACTAGGTAATCGCCGCTCTTTAGTTCTGGTGGCCTGATGAAGGCTTACACGGGGGATGGGGGGATATGTCACAGGGGCGATGAGGGGGGGGGGGCGGTAAGGGTCCGCAGGCGCGATCCAGAGTGAGTTTACAGGAATCGCTGCGGAGCCATTTACAGTGGTTAGCAGCGCGTCCGAGCCAAGGTCAGCTCGGGACTAGTAGCGAGAGGAAAAGTGTAGGTGAAAACGAAAACAACAACACAACGACTGCCCTCCTCCTCCTCCTCCTCCTTCTCCTCCTCCTCCTCGCCTTCTTACCTTCTTCATCATCCTCACGTCTCGCATCATTTAAACAACAGTGTGAGCAACGGTGGCGCATGCACCTCCTCCTCCTCCCTCCTCCTCCTCCCCTCCCCCCCCCCCCCCCTCCTCCCTCCCCCCCCCCCCCCAGAGGGCAAGAGAGCCAATCAGCACTAGGTGATCTCAGCTCTTTAGTTCTGGTGGCCTGATGGGGACTTACGCGGGGGGTGGTGAGATATGTCAGAGGGGCGATAAGGGTAAGGGTCCGCAGGCGCGATCCAGAGTGAGCTTTCAGGAATAGCTGCGGAGCCAGGTACAGTGGTTAGCAGCGCGTCCGAGTCATTAGGGTCAGCTCGGGGCTAGTAGCGAGAGGAAAAGTGCTGGTGAACACGAAAAGACAATCAAAACGACTGCCCTCCTCCTCCTCCTCCCCCCCTCCTCCTGCTCCTCCTCCCCCTCTTCCTTCTCCTCCTCCCTCCTCCCCCTCCTCCTCCTCCTCCTCCGCCTCCTCCCTCCTCCTCCTCCTCCTCCTCCTCATCCTCCTCCTCCTCGTCCTCCTCCTCCTCCTCCTCCTCCTCCTCCCCCCCCTCCTCCTGTCACCTTCTTACTCGTCATCATGGCCGTCTCGCCCCATTAAAACAGCAGTGTGAGCAACGGCGGCGCATGCGCATCCTTTTCCTCCTCCTTCTCCGCCGCCTCCTCCTCCTCCTCCCATTGCAGCTGGTACCGGCCCCGAGCTATGCGCCACGAAACCAAGTAAACTGGCATTGGATGCGTAGCTCATTTTGGCTCAAGTGGTGTCGGGCTCTAATTGCGCTAGACCCCCGTTGGCTGCTCAACAGTTCGGCAGCAATGGCGACGATTGACATGGGGCTCGTTTCGGTCTGGCTGGGGAGCGTTGACCCAAACATCGCTACGCACTGGGTCACCAAACCGACCGAGGTCAACGGCGAGCTGTTCGTGGAGTGTAACCAGCAGGACCCACGGTTCATCAAGATGCTGTCGAAAAGGCTCGAGATGGTCGATGCCATAGCGTCGGCGAGGAACGCTGCCGTGGATGGCATCATGAAGGAGGCCCAAGCTAAGGGGCAGGAGGTTCACCTCGCCGAGCAGGGGCCCCTCGTCAAGCGCTTTCGCAAGGAGGTATTCGACGAGATTGCGAGGGCAGTTGACCTCAATATGGAGATCGAGGGCGGCGAGACCGAATACGTCAGAGTACTCGCCAGCGTCAACGGCAGAGACAAGCTGTGGATCAAACTCGAGTCGGTGGCCATCCTCGGCAAGACCCCCAAGGCCGCGGCCCATGACCATTGGGAGCCGACGGCATCGCAGCCCCACGTGAAGTGGTCTCGTGCAAGGCACGCCCTCATGACCTCATACTTTAGCAAGGAGAAGAGCAAGACAGTCCACGCAGTCAGGTCCATGCAGAGAACCGAGTCCAAGGACGAGCTCCAGAACAAGGTGGACATCGTTGCTCAGCAGTTGCAGGAGCTTCGCAATCACGAGACACAGGAGTGAGAAGGGGCTGCGCGCGTGGCGCGTGGTCCGTGACTCGGCTTGGCGCCGAGTGTTGCTTTGCAGCTGTCTGCAGAAGTTTACAATAATGCGAGATGGTGCAATGACATGGGGTGGTGGCCACCTCGCCGAGCAGTGCGCGCGTCTTGTGTGGGGCGGGATTGCCCACGCAGCTCCGATGCATCTAGAGCAGTGGAGCGGGGGTTACACGCGCGCGACTGGCGGTGAAAAACAACAAAACAACAGGGTGAGCCAAACAAAACACAAGGCCGCTGGAGCTCAGATCAGACGCCGGTGAGCCTCCGTGCGAGGACGTTTGGGAGCGCCCCCCCCCCGACTCCGGAGGCCCTGAAAAGTTCGAGTTGCTAGGTAGAGGTTCGAACTTTTGTTCCAGTTGCTAGGTAGAGATTCGAACTTTTGTTCCAGTTGCTAGGTAGAGGTTCGAACTTTCAGCAATATTAAAGTGTTGAGGAAATCGTACCATAGAAAGTTCCAGTTGCTAGGTAGAGGTTCGAACTAAAGTTCCAGTTGCTAGGTAGAGGTTCGAACTTTTGTTCCAGTTGCTAGGTAGAGGTTCGAACTTTTGGGCTCGTTTGGATGTCGTCAGCCCCCGCCGATGATAATCGCGCTTCGCGCCTCCCGATATCGGCTGGAAAGCTGCGCTCCTCGGGGGGGGGTTCGCGAGGGCGCGAAGACAACAACGCGACGTTTGGCGTCCTAGATGCCCTACTGACCCTCGCTGGCATCGGCGTACACGACGTCGACATAGACGTCGTTTCACCACCCATGCTGCTCATGCTGATGCTGACCGTAGCTGTTTTGGCTCGTTTCAGTCCCTCGGCCCTGAGTCTGACCTGTGCCCAACTGTCCTGTCGCAAGAATGGCAGTCGATCCCATGGCGGACCGCCTGATCAGCATGATTGACCAGCGGCTTGCTCTGGTGGACGCGCAGTCGAACGCTGGCCTCAGCAGGGAGGCGCTGATGAGGAACCAGACCACCGCGCTCATCCAGGCGATTTCCACTGGAGGCAAAATTAGCGACGACTGCTGTACGATAATCACTCGACACGTAGCCCAGGGCCCATGGAGTGTCGAGCAGAAACAAGCGACCGCATCAGCTTTGAATGAAGCAGCTGTGCTGGCGGACAGCAAGACCAGCGGGGCCCGAGCCACGCAGAGCCTTGATTTCTTGGCCGAATGGGAAAGCATCAGGTCGCCTGAGCTGTCGACGTCCGCCAAACTTGAAGTGGTCGCTGCCCGCCTCAACATGATCGGAGTGACGTGCCCCGAGGAGACACTCCTCAAGAAGGGCGTCGCCATCGTCGTTTTGTCTAGCCCCGAGCTCCTGACCCAGGAGTTGAGTGGCACCTGGAAGAAGAGCCAGAAGGACAGGCTCCAGCAGTTCGTGAAGGTCCTGGACAAGTCCAAGCCTTGGAAGTTCCAGCACATGACCAAGTACCCTCTGAGGCCGAGTTTGCTCCACGAGACGATCTTCAACCACGCGCGCCCTGGTGGCCGCGCTCCAGTGGGGGACCCCGACGTCGACGGCCTCGATGTAGCGTGCCAGGAGATGTGCTGCAGGCAGGGACTCGTCAAGCCAGGTCAAGAAAGCCAGGTTCTCGCAAGGTGCGGATGCGGCTGCGCCGCAGACGCGCCCGCGCCAACAGGCGCAAGTACCGTCGGCGATGCAGCAGGGGATGGGCGACATGCAGATGCAGTTCATGACGGCCATGGCCATGGCGGCTATGCAGAATTTTCCTCAAACCGCTGGGCCACTGGTCCAGTGCATGGCGCAGATGATGGGGAACGCCGAGCAGAAGACCCAGCCCGCTAGCATCAACATCGATTACACTGGCCTGAAGCCGAGGGGCGGGGGTGCGCCACCACAAGGAGTGCCTTCCTCGGACAACCTTGGTGACGCTGCGGGGTCAGCCCCAACCGACAGCCCCCTGGCACTCACGGACGCCCCAGCGCATCCAGCAGGCGCAGCGGCAGCTGCACCAGCCACTGCGCCAGACGCTGGAGCCCTTGTGCCGCATGGCGCGGCCTGTCCTGTTGACGAGACGGCCGAGCTAGAGCGGAAGATGAGGGAGGCTGCCATGGCCGCCAAGGCGCGCCCCAAGGAGGCGAAGGAGGCAGCGACGGAGGGAGCGCCGCCCAATGGCGACGCCACGGCAGGCAGCACCGTGGACAAGAGCACGACAAAGGGGGCGGGCAAGGGCGCGAAGGGCAGAGGCCGTGGACGCGGCGTGGGGAAGCGGCCTGCTGCTGCTCCCACAGGTGCCAGGGGTGGGGGCATTCCTCTTTCCCCCTCATCCCTCCTCCTCTCTCCTCCTCATCCTCCTCCTCCTCCTCGTCGTCGTCGTCGTCCTCCTCCTCCTTCTCCTCCTCCTCCTCTTCCCCCTCCTCCTCCTGCTCCTCCTTCCCCTCCTCCTCCTCCTCCCCCCTCATCCTCTTCATGTTTCTTTTCCCCCCTGCCCAGCCTTGCCCGCCTCCTCCCACCCTCCTCGTCCTTGCCCTCCCCATTTCCTTCCCTCAACCCCAACTCGACCCGCTCCGAAAACTGTGCGGGGGGAGGGGAGGTGCCCTCAACGTGGACTTCACCGCCCTGCTCAAGCCCGAGGACTGCGTGTTGCGGAGCCGCAGCGCCTTTACCTCCAGGGCGTACACGGGGGTCAAAACGATTGCTAAGGGCCAGGGGATTACCGACAAAGGCGAGCTGAACCGCCTCGCGAAGGTTGCCTATGCCGCAGCCTCTGACGTCTACACACTTTGGGAGGCCAAGGACAAGACACGCAAGTGATAGCTGCGTGTTTGTTTGATTTCGTTTCGGGTGCGCTGTGGCTCACGGTCCGTTCGAGTGTGCGCACTCTCTTACTCTTCAGTGCAGTGCTGTACAGAGCAGTGGGTGAAGGCTCTACTTTGCAGGGGTGACCTGCCAATCAGCGCACGCTTGGAAACAGTAAAAACGCCCGTGTGAAGGGTGGGGGGCCAGGCGACAGCTCGAGCCCCCCCCCCCCCCCCCCCTCCCCCCCCCCCCAAAAAAAAAAAAAAAAAAAAAAAAAAAAAAAAAAAAAAAAAAAAAAAAAAAAAAAAAAAAAAAAAAAAAAAAAAAGCACCAGCCATCCCAACGTGCACGGCATAGCCCCGAGAAGGGCGGGTGACATCTCATTTCCCCTCCCTCCTCCTCCTCCTCCTCCTCATCTTCCTCCTCCTCCTCCTCATCCTTATCCTCCTCATCCCCCTCCTCCTCTCCCCTTCCTCCTCCTGCTCCTCCTCCTCCTCCTCCTCCCCCTCCTCGCGTCCCTTGCGCACCATGGCCATTTCGCCCCAAGCTGCGTGGTGTCGCGACGGTCGCCAGCACGACAAAGAAGCCTAGAATAATCGACCTTGGACGGAGGTCTCATGTCACAGGTTTTGCATTGTGTAAGCTTTTGGCCGGGCTGAGACGCCAGCCCACCATGCCCGATGCTATATCTAGATCAACGCAGAGACGGCAGAGGGAGTCCATCAGTTACCAGATGTCCTACAACCACGGCCCCCTGATGTTTCCGAGGGTTGCCCAGGACGAGGATGGGGCACCTCTGACTGGAAGGAGGAACACACTACAGATCCAGCTCTCCTGGTTCTCCTCCTCCCCCCGCCGCCCCTCCTCCTCCCCTCCCTCCCTCCTGCCTCCCCTCCCCCCCCTCCCCCCCCCCCCCCCCCCCCCCCTCCTCCCCCTCTCGAGGAGGAATAGGGGGGGGAGGGCCAAGAGAGCTGGTTCTGCATTGTTGTCCTCCTCCAATAGACTTTGTACGTCGCGAACCCTTTCGCGTGGATCGAGATCGCCTGTAAGGACCCATGGGGGCTAAAGGGCACCACCGCCACTTAACACAACGAAGCTGTGTTCGACTCGAGTGCGCTTCAGCCCCCTCCCCTTCTCTCCCGCCCCCCTCCCTCTCCCGCCCCCCTCTCTCCTGCCACCTACCCCCGAGCGTGAGGAGGAGGAGGAGGAGGGAGAGGGACATGATTTCTTGTTGGAGACTGACTGGTGGTGTCCGTTCGCCCCGATAGGAATCTCCAACTTCCAGGTCGTTGGTCCAATCCGTGTTCGAGGCATCTAACAAGTACATGTCCGTCGTAGTTTACGGTGACGAAGTCACTCCTGGAGACAGCCTGAAAGGCCATAACAGTAGAAAGTTGATGAGTTTCTATTGGTCGTGGGCTGAGCTGGGCGTGGGAAACTTATCCAATGAACTTCTCTGGGCTACAGTTGTAGGCGTCAGGTCCGACACCATGGACGAATTACCTGGTGGCAACGCCGAGCTGTTCAAATACGTGCTAGAATGTTTTTTTCTTTTTTTTTTGGAAGTGCAGATCTCAGACAAGGGGTTGCGATACACATCCACGGTGAAAGGCACCCGAGGCTTGTCACTGGAAAGCAGTGGATGGTTATCCAGGACGAGAGGGCGCTCAAGTTTGGGCGCGGCACGATGGGGGCATCAGGGGTCAAAATGCGCGGCCTCTGCCAGAACTGCGTGGCCCACCGTTCGAAGTAGTTGCCCGATCCCTCTGGCTTCTTGGCGCCATCAACCGAATGCGACACATCTGCTTTCACGCCACACACCGATGCGAGCATCAGGGGCATACAACGTCGCCTCGCGGAAGTTGCGGGCGGCCCGGTAAAGGCCAGGCTGGACGAGTTGCAGACTTGGCTTGGTTTCAACTTCATACCTACTGGTGTGCTCCAGTCTGACGCTCTGGCACTCGACATGGTCACTACTTGGAGCTGGGACTGGATGCACTGCTACTGCGTCGGGGGCGTGCTGCGCAAAGAGCTCGACGCTTTGCTCGCGAGGCTGAAGGCGTTGAATCTTGGAGGCGACGTGTTGAATGCGTTTCTTTCGCGTTGGCAGTGGCCGAGGGCATATGCTGGAGCCCGCAATTTATGTAAGCATACTGACCACACGCCGAATGGTTCTGCATCGGAGTACCTTTTCCGCAGTTCCTGTCATCGGCAAGTGGTTGAGGGAGACTGTTGAACCTCATTGCCTGAAGGAGCGATCTTGCGTGCGAGAAGTTTCAAGTGCCATAGCCTTGCTCCGAGTTTTAGAACTGCTGCGCATAGTCAACACTGGTGACGTAACACCAGTGCAACTCGGCCAGGCCGTGGCAACCCACCTAGAGCTGCACAAGACAGCCTACGGCGACTCCATTTGGGTTCCGAAATTCCATTGGACGTTGCACCTGGCAGGCCAGTTGCTCAATTTTAAATGCTTGCTCTCGTGCTTTATGCACGAGAGGAAGCACCGCACCGTCAAGCGGTGGGCGAACCCACGACAGAATTTGCAGTCTTTTGACAAAGGGCTGCTCGAGGACTGCGTAGTGCAGCACTTGTACGAACTTAACAATGGGCCAATCGTTGGACGGGGCTCATCGAACCCAGGCCAGCCCCAGAGCCAATGACGATGGCCATGCATCGAGCGTTCAACATCGCCGATGGCGATATCCAGACTGCAAAGGCAGTCTCAGTCCTCAACAGGAGGGTGCAGATGGGGGATGTTTGCGCCTACGTCCTGGCTGACGGTCGGATCGGGTTCGGCCAAGTGTGGTTTCACTGTGCTATGTTTGGCGAAACTCTTACGTGCGTGTCCGCCTGGCAAGTGTATGAGTCCTTGCCAGGGTACGTGAAATGCTTGGCTCAGGATGCGCCCGAGTTGGTCCAGTCGAGTTCGTTGTTGGAGGCTTGCATTTTCACGCCTGCTCAGATAGGCAAGGTCGTGCAAGTCTTGCTGCCTCCCAGGCTCCAGCATCGGCTGGAGTGCGACGCGTAGCAAGGGAGGCGGGAGAGGGGGAGGAGGGAGAGGGGGGAGGGGGAGGAGGAGGAGGAGGAGGAGGAGGAGGAGGAGGAGGAGGAAGACGAGGACGAGGACGAGGAGGAGGAGGAGGAGGAGAAGGAGGAGGAGGAGGAGGAGGAGGAGCAGGAGGGGAAGGAGGAGGAGGAGGAGGAGGAGGAGGAGGAGGAGGAGGAAGAGGAGGAGAAGGAGGAGGAGGAGGAGGAGGAGGGAAAGGAGGAGGAGGAGGAGGAGGACAGAGGAGAAAAAGGAGGTAGGACGGAAAGGGGGGACGGGAAGGGAGGGTGACTTTTCGTCTGCGAGGGCAGGCAGTTCGCTGCTGGTGCACGACTGCGAGGCTCGAAAGTCTGAGCCTTGAAGCCAAAAAAAACTCCACTGGCACTACGAAAACGCACCAGACCCACGACCGGTCACCTGGTTAGCTTTGGGCCCCTAACCTAGTTAGCCGAACCCCCTAACCTATGTAGCCGAAGCCCCCGCCCAGCCCCTAACCTAGTTAGCCGAACCGCCTAACCTAGTTAGCCTAAGCCCCCTAACCAAGATACGCTAACCAAGTTACGCCGCTTAAGCTCAAGCAAGTTATAACCATTCACAACTGAGCCAAGTGCAAAACAACCACAGCGGCCACCTCAGAAGGCCGCAGACGCGCGAGTAAGACGGCTCAAGAGGCCACGAAGACGTCCCAGGAGGGCCCCGGCGCCCCAGGAGGGCCCCGGCGGGAGGCCAAACTGTCTTCGCTCAGGGCGCGGGTCTCTCTTCATACACTGCGCGCCGAGGGGCAATGCGGAAAGATGAATGCTGCGGAGCACGCGTGCACGGGTGCAGTGGACTCAGTGGCGATCCGGAGAATCAGGCTGGAGAGGTCCAATTCGGAAGTCGAATTCGGAAGTCGGAAATCTGAATTCGGATATCCGTGTTCCGGTTCCGGGTTCCAGGTTCCGGATTGGACCTCCGAGTTCGGATATCCGGATTCCAGGTTCCGGATTCCAGTCCGGATTGGACCTCCGAATTCGGATATCCAGAATCGGGGTTCCGGGTTCCGAGTTCGCGGTTTCGGATTGGACCTCCGACGGCGGATATCCGGTTTCCGGGTTTCCAGTTTCCAGGTTTCGGATTGGACCTCCGAGTTCGGATAGTTATCCGGATTCGGAGTTCTGGGTTCCAGGTTCCGGATTGGACTTCCGAGATCGGATATCCGGATTCCGGGTTCCGGGTTCCGGGTTCCAGGCTCCGGATTGGACCTCCGAGTTCGGATGTGCGGATTCGTGGTTTTGGGTTCCGGATTCCAGGTTTTGGGTTGGGCTTCCGAATTCGGATAATATCCGGATTCCAGTTTCCGGGTTTGGGGTTCCAGGTTCCGGATTGGACCTCCCAATTCGGATATGCGGATTCGTGGTTCCGGGTTCCGGATTCCCGGTTTTGGGTCGGGCTTCCGAATTCGGATCTCCAGAATCCGGGTCCAGGTTTAGGTTTTGGGTTCCAGGTTATGGGTTGGTCCTCCGAATTCGGATATGCGTATTCGGGGTTCCGGGTTCTGGATTCTGGGTTCCGGATTGGACCTCCGGATTCGGATATCAGGATTCGGGTTTCCGGGTTTTGGATTCGAGGTTCCAGATTAGACCTCCGAGTTCGGATATTCGGATCCCACGTTCCGGGTTCCGGGTCCAGGTTTCGGATTGGACCCCCGAGTTCGGATATGCGGATGCGTGGTTCCGGGTTCTGGGTTCCAGGTTCTCAGACATGGAGGCATCCTCGAAAAATGATTGTTCGCAACATCTTCTCAGTTTTGAGTGCCAAGGACAAGTCAGTAGGACCCCAACACGGCTCAAGATGCACCGAAGTTTGCCCAATACTTGTTCAAAGCAGCTGTCTAAGACGGCTCAGTATAGCTCTTCCTTTTTCCCGGAAAGGGCTCGAGCCCAGGGTTCTCTTTTAGTTGGTTTATTCCCCCCGGAAGAGGGCCGGC